TGGGCCGAGCTATGAGATGGACTTTATGGCCCAAAGTATGAAGGACTGGGTAAAAAGGCCGAAAAGTTATTCTGGCCCAAGAGAGATAAAGTTACTCCAGCCCAGAAATTATGTTAAGTTACTTCGGTTTGGACAACTTGGAGTTAGTCCGGTCTTAGAATTAGTCCGGTCATGACGTATTCTGCATAGATCGGTCAGGTCTTTGCTACTCGGTAGCTCGGTCCAAACACATCATGGTTCATACAAAGGAGAACCGAGATAAGGTGTGAACGAGAGACAGAACCGAACCAATGATAGCACGGCTTATTTTGTGGCTTGGCATAGCCGTGGGTACTTCGGTCAAATGGTAGTTCGGCCGTGGTAAAAACCATCCCACTTGGTTTAAGCAGTGGGGGGGGGTGTAAAATGATAAGCATTATCCTTTAGAAGTATGAATCCTAGGAGGACTCTGCATGGAGAAATAAAAGTCCTACTAGGATTGTGCCATCCGAAACCTATAAAAGCTCACAAACATCACCTTGGAGGAGGTAACACAACACATAATTTTGCTTACTGAATACATTGAGCTTTGTTTATTTGTCAAGTTTGCTGACTTAGGCATCGGAGAGGTTTCCGGCACACACCCGCCGGCTAGCTCACGTTTGTATTTTCAGGTGACAAAGCGACGTCGTACGGAGAAGCGCGGACTTAATCAACAGGATTATACGAGAAGGTATATTTCTTTCCCGTACAGTATGCATTAAAGAAAGAGACTCATGTGTAGACCTTAATAGATGAATTTATTATTCAATAGGTCTTGTAAGAATTAATAACATTTTTTTATCAAACACTATTAAAAAACATTACTAATTATTAATTTTTAACGATAGTTTAAAATTTTTGTCACAAAAAATGTCATTAATTATAAGTTTTAGTGACATCGTCACAAAAAAATGTCATTAATTTTTAACTTTCAGCGACAGTTTGAAAAATTCGTCACAAAAAAAAATCATTAATTATCAATTTTTAGTAACATATGTAAAAAATCGTCATAAAAAATTATTTGAACAACGATTTTACTAGGACTTATTTTCAATAGGACTTGATGAGAATTAAGTTTAATTATACCCTAAAAATAAGGCTTGTTTGGCCATCTCCAATCTTTCATCAAATTCAAATTTGATGAAAAATTAGTTAAAATTGTGCTCCAACTATTTCATTAAATTCATATCAAATGATGGGAGAACTATATTTTTCATCAAATCAAGGGAACTTTTATCCTTTTATCAAATTTGCAAGTGACCGTTGGTTTGTAGAGGCTTCAACTGAACTCCTAGGAAGGATGATTGGCCAGACAACCTGCGTGTCAATCGGGTTTTGGGATGAATTAAAAATTTTGTAAAAAGATTTGATGAAAATTTACTCTTAGGCAGGATGACCAGACAGACAACCTGTGTGTCAATCAGGTTTTGGGATGAATTAGGAATTTTGTAAAAAGATTTGATAAAAATTTTAAATTTACTATTGGAGTGCATCATATCAGATCAAAATTTTCATCAATTTTTTACTCAAATTTGATGAAACATTGGAGATGCTCTTACTTATTCTAATCTATTAAGGGTTAATTATTGCTCAGTCCCACAAAATGAAATTACTTACTCACAAGTCTTGTTGACTTTTTAAATGCACAAATAACTCTATATATTACCCACATTAAATATTTGTTCTCCTCTTCTCTCTCCAATATTTTCTAGAGAACTCTCTCTCTCTCTCTCTCTCTCTCTCTCTCTCTCTCATCTTTTTACCATTTATGAAGCTTCACAGCACCACCACACACTACCACCGTTAGCACACCTACTGCTACCATCCACCGTTGATCGCCATTGCCACTGCCACCGCCACCGCTCACCAATCACCTTCATTATCACCGATCTACACTCTACTATCTCCGATCTATACTTTACTGTCATTGATTTACCACCATCGTCGTCGATCTACCACCGTCGTCATCAATCTACACTCTATCTTCTCTAACTATGCTTTACTATCTTCGATCTATACTTTATCTTCTTCGAACAACACTTAACCATCGCCAATCTACACTCTATCATATTAGATCCATCGCAAATATCTCGACAACCGCACTAGAATCTGAAAAATTTTCTTGGTTAGAAATGTTTTTGCTTTTTAATTTGTTTTTGTTTAGGTTTGGTTTTGAGCACTTCTTTTTTATTATTTGGTTTTGTTTTGGATTTGTAAGATGATGATGATAAAAATGATGAAAGAGACAAAGACTCTTTAGATCACACATCTATTTCTTATTCTATCTGTTAATTGCTGGTAAACTAATGTTTGGAGAAATTTGTGTCATTAATAAATTTATCACTGAGGAAACTATTTCTATAATTGTGTGGATGTGTTTTTTTTGAATGGATAAGTGAGGAAGTGTGCATGTATGTAAGTGTAAGTGTAAGTGTGACAGTGAAAGAAAATAAGTGATTAACTAGTTTATTCCCATTTGACTTTACTCCAAATACACTCTATTTTTTGTCCTTATTATAAATAATTACTATTCCCACTTCACTTTGCTCCAAATACACTCCCTCATATGTATAATAAGGATAAAGAATAAAGTATATTTAGAGTAAAGTGGAGTGGGAATGGCGGCTCCTTAAATTTATCACTGTTAAATATTTCTACTTCTTTTCTATTTCTCTTGTTATTACCAAATCTGAGAAGGAATGAGAGAGTAACGTAGCGGAGATGAATGTTGAGTTTTCTTCAAAAAAATGGCAGAATAAGTTTCAAAAATTAGTACCCAAAAAAAATATCGTTGGAGGTGGTTGCCAGTGGTTGGAGACGATGGCTGGAGGTGGTCTCTGACTTCGGCAGATGGAAGTGGTCTCCTATAGTCGAGGTGGTCTTTGGCGGTGAAAGGTGCAATCATGGCAATGTGAATAATGAGGATGCAAAAGATAAGAAGATGGCATTTTGGAAATATTGATAGGTGAAAAATAGAATAAGATTGATAAGTAAATAAGTTTAGTAAACAGAACCGGCTCATAAGTGCCCTATCTATTAATAATATACATAATTAAAAGGGCACTCAAGCCATAAGTCTATTTCTAAATTTTTTGAGTCATTAGGCCCAAACTCTAATCTTTTTGGGCCAAAATGACAAAATTTGTCCAAAACAACTACCTATTGAAATTAACTTATCTGTTTATCTTTCGAAATCACTTGTTTTGTCTATCTATTGAAGTTCATCAACCCTATTTTTCACTAACCTTATTTTCTTAATTGTTGAAATTTACCAAGCAATCTGTTGATGTGACACATGCAATTCATTCAATACCATATCTAAATAAATATCACACATTTCTATACCTCTCCACTACTACCTACTACTGTCGACGAGAGAGACAGAGAAAGAGAGAAAATGCATGTGTGTGTGAAAATTTGATGAGATTTTCGTGTATAGATTTAAAGAAATGAGAACAAACAGTGGAGGGGAAACTGCCATGTCATCTAGAGAATTTTGCCCCTACATGCTCCGCTCTTGTGGAGGTTTTTAGCCACTCGAGTAGATTCATCTAGGGGTGTAAATCTGGCCCGACCCAGCTCAACTCATGTCGGGCCTCGCGGGCTCCCGCCAAAATTCAGGCCGGGCCGAGCCGGCCCACGGGCCAAAAAATTAAGCCCAGGCCTAGGGGTATTCGGGCCTATGGGTGGGCCGGCCCAATGGGCTTAGGCCCGGCCTCGGACTTGGGCGGGCCTAACCATTTTTTTTAAAATTTTTTTTTCTACCAAAATTTTATTATTTTCCATTAAAATTCTATTATTATTTTTTTCTACCAAAATTTTTATTATTTTATTATTTTCCATTATTTTCCTTAAGCGGGCCGATGGGCCAAGCCCTAAGTGGGCCGATGGGCCGGGCTACGGGTTGGCCCCATGGGTTGGGCCAGGCTTCAAAATAATGGCCTAGGCCCTAGCCCAGGGGCTCGAGCTAGGCTCGGGCCTGGGCCCAAGCGAGCCTAAATGGGTTGGGCCCACATCGGGCTGTAGGCGGGTTTCAGGCTGCCCACGGGCCATTTTTACACCCCTAGATTCATTCAAAGAAGATCAACTTAAGAGTCTTCTAAATCCGCTTGTGAATTTCCTGAGTAAGAGGTTCTAATTGCATATTTTTGTTCTAAGTCCAAATTAAACACTCCCAAGCACATGATGTAGAATACAAAACAATTAAAGCAGACATGATTTGATAATACTTTTTCAACTTTGGGATTTGAAAAGTAATAAACAATCGATTTCGTAAGTCATGTCAACCCATGAATCCAAATTCAAATAGCCTAAACCTATTAGAGAAATGTCGATTAAAATAAGGTTTTGGAAACGTGAAACGTTATAGCAATGGTGGTGGGAGTAGCTATAGTGGTAATGTGATTAATACTTTCATATGGCCACACACCAGCATTATATTATAATGGAAATACCAAAGCTTATGCCATCAAGTTGCTATTAATTCCCAGTCAAAAGATAAAGGAAAGAGAAAAGTAAAGCACACCTTTGTAAAAGAAGTATACCGAATGTGAGAAAGAGGGGTGTAGTGTTAGTAACACCTTTGTTAAAGAAATAAAAAATAATAATATATTTAAGAAGGAAGGAGATGTCCATTATACTTCCAATGTTGGGGTCAGTTTTTGTGAACCTAGCCATTTCAATTGATGAAGCTCTCTCATAAGAAAAATCCCAAATGACATGAAACCATATCATGTTCCTCAAGCACGCTATTCACTATCAGTATGATGAATTGAAAGGACCAATGCCTGAGAGAGGAAAGGTACCAGCTAAAAAGCATGACACTTCTAATAAGGTAACGTGTTGTGTCCAACACTAACACATCACTCGTCATACAATGCCCAACATTTTCACACCGAAGCACATAACAAGTTTAAATAAAATAACTTTGAATCCAACAATAAAACAAAAATAATGTAAATTTATACCCACTCTCCTCCTTTAGACTTTAAAAATTATTATATTTAACTTAAATAATCATATATATGACATAAAGTAATTATTTATCCTTATATACAACATAATAAATATATAAAATTATATATTTTGCAAGTGTCCCCATGTGTCATGACCTACATGTTTTGAAAATTTCTGTGTTAATGTGTTCATTTCGTGTCACATGCCCATGTCCATGCTTCTTACGGTACAAGTGAAGAAGCATTACCAACAGAACTCTTGCTCCAAAGCACTTGACCTTCAATAGCAGTGAGTTTTTCATCATCGAGGTGCTTCCACGTTTTGATAGACTTTACAGTTCCCCAACCTCCCTTCTCTGTTTTCTCCATAGATGCTACCACTACCCTTGCTCTCCTTGCCCATCCAGCCTTCCCATAAGCATGGTATCCAAAGCCTCCAGCATAACAGAGATGTATGCCAGTTAGCTCACCACAAAAGTCATTGACGTGATCATGGCCAGTAAAAACGGCCTTCACATCACCCGCTTCCACCATAGTTGTGAAGAAGCCAGAGTTTACCGAAGGAGAGCTAATGTTTTCTTGTTTAACACCCGTGAAGTTTGATGAGTCAAAACTGGAATATTCAGGCAATGGAATGTGAAAGTACACAAGTCCTGGGGCAGGAGCTTTCTGGGCCTCTGGCTTGCTCATGTATGCTCTCTGCATCAAGGACAATCATAAGAGAATTCAATAAAAAAATTTAATGCATAAAATTAATCAAAAGTTCAGCAAAAGCAATCTGCTTAATTTGGGCCACAATAACCCAAACAGAGAGCACTTGACAACGAAGGGAATGCATAATGCTGGATGATACAACTAACTCAGACAAAGCACTACACTAAAATGAGTAAACCCCAACAAAAAAAAAAAAGTATAATAAAAATAAAAAGAAGTGCAAGGTTGTTACCCGAAGCTTCATGGAAGTGCGTTGGAACCAAAGCTGCTGAGAGGGTTTGATCCAGCCATAACCGTGGATGGAGGGAACTGTCGAGTAATCACCACTGTCAAGGAAGTAGAGGTTGAGAACTGACTTATTTGCAAAACTTGAACCCTCAATCCCATGGATTTCCAGATTATAGTTCCCAAAACCATCAATGACATGCACCTCGGGAGGATTAAGCTGAGATAAGGTGTTCTTCATACCAACAATATGTTTCATCACTCCTTCCCTTGAAAGGGTAGATTCTTGGTCATGGTTTCCCAGAACAGCAACCCAAGGGATGTTGGCCGATACTGCAGGGGCAAAACCAGCATTCATGGAAGAAGCTGCATCTGTTGCATCAGATGCAAAGATGTTGTCCCCTGCATTCCAGCCCAATAAAAACTCAGAGCACATTTTAACATTGCTTTATGCAAAGCTCAAGATTAGGAAAAACTTTTGAGGTACATATGCCAAATGAATACAATAAGCATCCAGTAAGGCAAGCCAGTTTGAATTAATACGATCATTGAGGCATTTCTTTTTCCCTTTTTTTTTCTTTTTTTCTTTTTTTTTCCTCATCAGAATTTCAAATAAAAAACACTGAAGGATAGACATCCAATAACTTTTTTTTATTGTTCCAAGGAACCCTTTGCGCCTCTGTTAATGTTAGAATTCTCAACTATTTAGCAACTGTGACCAGAAGCACCATTTCAAATTGCCCAAATTTTCATGCTCCAAAAAAAGAAAAGGCCAAATTTTCCTTTTCAAGGAGGAACTAAACAAATTGAATATATTATTCAAGTATTGGCTGCTATATAACTAAAGGCTTTATGATTATTTTTGAGAATTGGATAATATCTTGAGGATGTTTGCCAAGTGAATATAAGAATGGAGCCTAGGAGCTTTGGTTATGTGGAAGAAACAATGAAGCAATTAAGAATACCATCAATGGAAGCTATTTTCTTTTCTTTAATATTTTTCTTTTTCTAATGTTCTGGTGATCTCAATTTCAAAAGAAGACAAAAAATCATGGATAATAAGTACACAATGATTCATAGTGAACTTCATGAGATCTTCCATGATGAAATATTATGTTGAGTTAGCTTTGCATACTTATAAAACTCAATCCTTCCATTTGAATAGCTTTTGCAATTATACAAGTGGGAAGTGCCCCTAATTTTTAAAGAAAAGTGGTTTTCAATTTCCCCATCTAATTACTCGTATAATAAAAGTTTATTTTCATTTATTTTCTCTCATTTTATCTTTTCCCAAGCAAAAGGGGAGGAAACCCATCTTCTGTCTTCTTTATCTCTTCTATCACTCTCTTTTCCTTTTTGTTCCATGCTCTCCTAAGTCCTAACCTACTTATTTTTTTTTTTCATTTTCTTTTTGTCTCCTCCTAACTAATTGTAACAAGCTAGAAACTGAAGCAACAATAGCATCAGATCTACATAAAGATATATGGGCGAGTTTGATTGGACCGATTATAACGAAGAATTAAGACCATGTTTGATACACAAGATTAATAGTAAGGTATTAATAATCCTATCAAATTAGTGTGGTATTCACTATCCAATGGGATTAATAGGATAAACTATCCATTGGATTAATACTCTCACCGCTACCCCATTACTAATAATCCTACAAATTTGTTTGATTAATTATCCATTAGATTAATAATCCTAAATTAAAATGTTAAAATAAACATGGGATAATTGGGCCCAAGAATTAATAATCTCAATCGCATGCTCTAATCCATCCAATCAAACATGTCCTAAGATTATTAATCCATCAGACTCACATTCTATTATTTAGTTGTAATTTTTGTTATCCGAATTAGTTTCGGATGAACATTCTATGCTACAAAATTGACCCATTATATATGTCCATATCTATTACAAAATAAACGTGAACAAGAGGAAATTATTATTTATATTACTAATCCATACATAGACTAATATTAATCCATTCATTTTGAGTTAATCAAACAGAGCCTAAGGGTAGGGTTGAGATAGAAAGAGGGAAGGAGAAACGGGTGGAGTACCAGTGAAAACGATGAGGTGAGGGTGGAAGGCAAGGATCATGCGTTTGAGGAAGGCGGTGGTATTGAGGTCTGAGCAACCGGGGACCTGTTCCGGCAACACGTCCTTGCAAGGGGTGGTTTTGCCATCCGCATAGTGCATATCCGCAACCTGCAATATTCTGAACTCCCCATTTCTATCGAATCTCAGCGCCGATTGCGATTGTTTTCCAAATATGCAGATCGGACCAGATAAGAGAGTAACAACGAGTAGCGCAACAACCAGTCTCACGACTACCTCATGTACAATCGCCATTCAAACAAGAACAAGAAGAAATTACAAGCAGAATAATATGAGTGAATCAGTGGCGGTACTGTAACAGACAATTCCTTCTTCTTCTTCTTCTTCTTCTTCTTCTTCAATTTCTAATTTCAGGAATAACCTCCTGGCACTTAGATCAAATCAAAATCAAACACATACAAAATTATCCTTAAATGTTTCGCACCACAAAGTAGACTCTGAGAACCTCAACCTTATCCGCAACTCGTGACACACTCTCTCTCTCTCTCTCTCTGCCCTAATTTTATCATCAATGCAATGCAATCAATAATTGCAATCAATAAGCTAGGCTGGCTTGATGGTTTTGTTTGCTTGTTTGATATGGACCACCTCATTACTACTGTTTTGTTTTTGTATTCTTCTGACGTTGATGGTTTCTTTTTTCTTTTGAGAATTAGGTGCAAGTGAGAGTTAGAGAAAAAAATTATCAATATAGAAAAGTGTAAGTGATATTTACACTTTCATGATTTTTCATTTGTATTCTACCATAGATATATTTGTATATTTATATATTTGTAAATTTTTTTTCAACTCCCACCTATACGTTTTTATTATTTATTTTTTATGAGTGTCTACCACAATCCATCAATTTTTTGATTAAATTTGACTAAAAATTTTAATATGATACGATACGTTCTGATTATTAGTTCATTAAATTTGACTGATCGTTTGGTTTAGAGTAAATTTTTATCAAATCTTTTCCAATCCAGTTATCCACTCGATTGACCGACCAGTCATCCACCTGGGCGTCCATCAATAATTACTTACGAGATTTGATGAATGATTAAATGCTTTTTTAATTTGATTTGATGAATAATTTTTTTATCATTTAATACGAGTTTGGTAGCAGGATTTGTAAAAAAAAATTTCAACTCCCATCTATACGTTTTTATTATTTATTTTTTATGAGCATCTACCACACTCCATCAATTTTTTGATTAAATTTGACTAAAAATTTTAATCTGATATGATACGCTCTGATTATTATTTCATTAAATTTGACTGATCGTTTGGTTTAGAGTAAATTTTTATCAAATCTTTTCCAATCCAGTTATCCACTCGATTGACCGACCAGTCATCCACCTGGGCGTCCATCAATAATTACTTACGAGATTTGATGAATGATTAAATGCTTTTTTAATTTGATTTGATGAATAATTTTTTTATCATTTAATACGAGTTTGGTAGCAGGATTGAAACCTAAAAAGCAGCATATTTTATCAAATTTAAATTTGATGAGAAATCTAATAGTAAGTGTAACAACCCACACTTCATGTCCTAGTCATGTTTGTATGCATTTATATGTTTTACCATGTTAAGATTGCTGTAGCAACCCATACTCATGTTATAGCCATGTTCATGTTCTTTTACATAGTTTGGTCTTGTTAAGTTTGCATTCATGAACCTAGTCTTGCTTTGTGTTTATATGATTTGTCTAAGTGTCGCTTGCATGCTTTGCCCTTCCCTGTTATGTTAAGCCGAAGTTATGCCAAGCCTAGGTTACGTTATGCCTAGATCATTCCAAGCCGAGGTCATCCTCAGTCTAGAAGTATCTTGGAACCCCTTTGTTTGACCTTCACCTTCGCCCTGGCATATTGGCCGAGATGCCATTATCTAGGCCGAGGTGTGAATCACCAAGGCCGAGATGTTACCTTTGCACCTTAGTGACCTTGTCCTGGAGTGGTATAACCTAGACCAAGGTGTGGCACATCTAGGCCAAGGTGCAGCACAGCTTAGTCAAGTGTTGTCCTTCCTAGCCGAGGTCATTGTCACCTTAGTTGCCGAAGTTTTGTTGTTAGCCGATGTCACCACTTGCCGGAGTGCCTTACCGAGTAGCTTGTTAGATACGCTTTGTCATAGCCTTGTTTTGTCAATCTATCACTTTTTCGAAGAGAACCAATCGGCCGCTGCCACGTGTCCGAGCTGAGAGTTAAGTCAGCCGGCAGAGAGAGAGAAACCCATCATTTGTTCCTATATTGCTCTGAAGGGTAGAGAGAGAAGCTCTAGAAGAGGGAGAGGAGTTCTTGAGAGGAGATAGATTTCCAAGCTTGATCCCTAGAGATCGAACCGCTAGATCCGTGTTCTAAGGTTAGATTCTTGATTTGCTCATGTTGTTCTTTATGTTCATGTTATTGCATTGCATGATTGAATATAATTTGTAAGCCACGCATTACTTTGAAGTTCGGTTTTAGAAAGAGAAAATAGCATTCATGTGTTCTTCAAGAAAAGTCACGTTTTGATCCGAAAGCTTATGCCAAGATTCATGTTTTTGTGTTGGTTTTCACATGATTTTTAAGTATGGGTACCCAGGTCCATGTTTTCGAACTCATAGCATGAAACCCCAGATTTTGTAAATAAAGAAGTTATGATTTTAACATTCATGTTCTTCATGATCTTCATGTTCATGTTCTTCCTGTTCTTCACGGGTGGAAACCCAGATCTCCAGACCTCACTTCCCGAGGTGTAGTCGCCAAGATCACTCTTACCTAGACCTCACACTTAGGCCAAGCATCGTATCTCACCTTGGCCTACCTTGCATGATCACTCACACTTTTAGTTGTCTTGTGCGCACATCGGCGTGCAGCCGCATGCCGAAGCTTAGGTAGCCACACCTCGGCCAGGAGGTGTGGGACCTCGGCAAAGACCTGGTTGGTACCCCGCATGTCTTCCTGACATGTAAAACAGTGTTTTGACTTCTTGCATGTCTTCTCGAGATCATTTGCATGCATGTTAGACTTGTTTCGAGAAGTATGTTCAGTATGCTTTGCCATGTGTTGTAGGACTTGGACTTTTGCCTTGATCCTGACGTCCCAAGAACTAATGTGAGTGGTATTTTTAATAAAGTTATATTATAACGTTTTGATAAAGCTTTGTCTTGTTTTGATAAAAGTATTTATTAAGCATGAATGATATCCCTATTTTATGTACCAAGTATAAACTCTGTTTTGGATGGCAATGTATCAAGTAAGTTTTGTTTTGATGTCAATCTTTGAAAGTCCGTACGTACCAGGGGACTATAAGCACTTGTGGCACAAGTCCGTACGTGCTAGGGGACTACAAGCATTAGTAGCACGCATGTGAAGTCCGTACGTGCTAAGGGACTATAAGCATTAGTAGCACACATGTGAAGTCCGTACGTGCTAGGGGACTCTAAGCTTTTGTGGCACCTTTGTTTGTTTTGTCCAGAATGTCGTCACCCCATGTTTTAAGATTTGACGCATGTTAAGTATGTAAGTTTTGTAAGATCAAGTTTGATGAACAAGATTTTATCTTATGTTTTGTACAAGCTTTGATAAGTATGATTTTTTTCAAAGATATATTATGTATTGTTTTGAAAAACCTCGGGAATCATTCATTTAACCCCTTTATTACTTATGCTATTCACTGAGTATCCAAGCTCACCCTCCCTATGTATATATGTAGGTAACAAGCAAGAAGTCGGCTACGCCGAGATGTGTGTTTTGCAAGATGTTTTGGATGCATGTTATGTCGGCAATATTTATGTCGGCAAACCTTGAGGCTTATGTATTTTGAACATGTCGGCTCGGGAAGCCTTTTTCCAAGATATAATATGTATTTTTGTACTTCATTTCTATTCGTATTCAAGTTGTAAAGCTATGTAAAGATGTATGCCATTTCATTTGACTTATACACTGCTCTTATGGACCACTTGTATTTTAGATTATTGCTTCCGCACTTGTGAGCCCCCTATATCTATACTCTGATTGTGTGTGAATTTTGAAAGTTGGCCTTCGGTAATCTTGGATTACTGGCCATCACGGTACCAAACTACTAGGGGCGGTTTGGGGTCGTGACAATAAGATTGGAGATGAAGCATTACTATCATTGAATTATCATCCATAAAAAATAAAATGTGTTTTTAAATTAAAGTTTAATAATTAATCTTAATCTAAATAATATTCTTAGAGTATATTCGTTTGTTTATTTGTTTGTTTGTTTTTTTTTTGGCTGAATAACTTGTCATTGGTGTTTATTAAAAGTGAGACATTTTACACTATCAAATTTTGAACATCTTGTCATTGTGTCCATTAAAAAAAGAGACTTATATGTAAATCTTAATAGGTAAATTTATTGTTCAATAAATTTTGTGAGAACTAATAACATTTTTCATCCCATACTAATAAAAAACATTACTAATTATTAATTTTTAACGATAATTTGAAAATTTTGTTACAAAAAAAATTACTAATGATAAGTTTTAGCGACATCGTCACAAAAAAAGGTCATTAATTTTTAACTTTTAGCGACAGTTTGAAAAATTCATCACAAAAAAATCATTAATTATCATTTTTTAGTGACATGCAAAAAATCGTCATAAAAAATTATTTCTAACAACGATTTTACTAAGATTTATTTTCAATAGGACTTAATGACAATTAAGTTCAATTATACCCTAAAAATAAGGCTTGTTTGGCTATCTCCAATCTTTCATCAAATTCAAATTTGATGAAAAATTAGTTAAAATTATGCTCCAACTATTTCATTAAATTCATATCAAATGATGGAAGAACTATATTTTTCATCAAGGGAACTTTTATTCTTTCATCAAATTTTGCAAGTAGCCATTGGTTTTGTAGAGGCTTCAGCTGAACTCCTAGGAAGGATGACTGGCAAGACAACTTGTGTGTCAATTGGGTTTTGGGATGAATTAAAAATTTTGTAAAAAGATTTAATGAAAATTTAGTCCTAGGCAGGATGACTAGCCGAACAACCTACGTGTCAACCAGGTTTTGGGATGAATTTGAAATTTTGTAAAAAGATTTGATAAAAATTTTAAATTTTCTATTGAAATGGACCGTATCAGATCAAATTTTTCATCAAATTTTTATTCAAATTTGATGAAGCATTGGAGATGCTCTTACTTACTCTAATCTATTAATTATTGATCAATCACACTAAATGAAATTAATTACTCATAAGCCTTGTTGACTTTTTAAATGCACAAATAACTCTATATATTACTCTCATTAAATATTTTTTCTCCTCTCCTATCTCTAATATTTTCCAGTTTTTCATAATTTCTCTCTCTCTCTCTCTCTCTCTCATCTCTTTACCATTTATGAAGCTTCACACCGCCACCGCACACTGCCACCGTTAGCACATCTATCGCCGCCACCCACCGTCAGTCGCCACTACCACTGCTCACCAACCACCTTCATTATCGCCGATCTACACTCTACTATCTCCGATCTATACTTTACTGTCATCAATTTACCACCATCGTTGCTGATC